CACCTTCCTGAGAGTCCTGCCTAGAGAATTATTCGTCTGCCAGAAGTCCCATAACAATGGCCTTTCTAAAATCCTTCTCATTCCCTTTCCTCATGCTTTCTTCAATGAAATGCCTCAGCTTCCTCCCTAGTCCTTGGTGTTTTCTGAATACAATTTAGGCCGCTTCCTCTTCTGACAAGGGAGGAAAAGTGATTTTCGGAAATGAAGGAAATCAGTGGCCAAATAGTCTGGGAATTCCTAGTGGGAAGTCTGTGGGTGCTATAAGCAATTCAGAGTCATCCAGGAGGTTAGCCCAGGCTCATTTAGGCTCAACATCAAGGCAAGATCTCTGCCTACTTCACCCCACCCCCAGTGAAAATGCACACATTAAGGAAAGCCGTTGCCCCATGGGAAGTGATCCATCACTGGTGACACTGAAAATGGACCTGGGCAATGCAGGTTTAGGGGATGAGGGGGGAGGGGAAGAGCAAAGAATGGGGCACTAAAAAGCTTCCTGACCCAGAAGGATAGACTAGACAGTCATTGATAATGTATGCCCACTTCATCCTACCCAATTAGACACTATTTGCAGTACTGTATCCAGTCTCGGGTGCCACATTGTAGTACAAATATCAACAAACTGGAAATTTTCTGGAGAAGGGTGACCAGAATGGCCCTTATAGGTCATCTAGTCTAACCCTCTCATTTTATAGATGAGGAAACAGAGGCCTAGAGAGGTAAAGTCATTTTCTGAAGACTATACAGATTGTCAGTGACAGAGTTACATTGAAGGGTTAATTTTCTCCTTTTCTCTGATGTCCAGGCTTCTAAACTATATATATAAAAACAACCTGCCCACCCCCAAAAGAGCAGGGATCAATGGATGCATCATCTTCATCTTCATCATCTTAGATATATAAATTACATTATGGTTTACTAAATATTTCACATTTATTTTCTCACATTGACCTTGCATTTGACAGGACTTATTAATTCACCTTAACTAAGGAACCTGAGGCTCAGAAGTGACAAAGTTAGGCTGCTAATACATGGAAGAGCTGACACTGGAGCCTATATTATCTGATTCTGTAAAGTCCAGCGGCTCTTCCCTCCATGTTGTCTTTTAGAAACATTTAAGAACTCCACATTTTAAGTCCAATTTTGCCACTGAATTTGCTTTGTGGCCCTTAATTTTTCAGGCCATGTATCTACAATAACAATACATCCCATAGGTTGAGAGCCACTAAATTTGCAGAGAGAAATCCCACCTTTGCCACTTAGTAGCTGAATGAGTTTGGCAAATGACTTCCCTTCTCAGGGCCTCAGTTTGTGCATCTTTAAGATGAGGGAGTAAGACTAGATGACCTCAAAGATTCCTCTCAGTTCTAAATCCTATGCACTGATGACCCGATGACTTAGTTTGCCTGGATTTGTCAGTGAATTGCCTAAATTGATTATACATTTTTGCTTTCATTAAAAGCATCTTTATTCTCTCCTACCTGGCCAGTACCAGCAGCAAGACTGGTGAGGAAGGAATGCCAGGTATTCTCAAGGTCCTTGAGCCTTAGAAGGGAAAGGGGAATACTTATGGTCAAGAATGTCACCATTTTCCCATTTAGGGATTTTAGAATTTAGAAGACCTAAATACAAAACTTAGTTCTACTATTTGCTACCTGTATGCCCTTAGATAAGTCAGTCCAGCCATCTCCTTGAAAAAAATAGAAAAGATAACAAACATCTGGGTAAAATTATGTACTCCCTTTACTAAACTTCTGTTAAAAATTGTTTTTGTTGCTCAGTCATTTTTCATTCATGTCCAGCTCTTCATGACCCCATTTTGGGGTTTTCTTGGCAAAGATACTGAAGTGGTCTTCCATTTCCTTCTCTAGCCAATTTTACATATGAGGAAACTGAGGCAAACAAGGTTAAGTGACTTGCCCAGGGTCACACAGGTAGTAAGTGTCTGAGACTAGATTTGAACTCAGGAAGATGAGTCTTCCTGACTCCAGGCCTGGTACTCTATTTCTAAAATCTATTCACTATACCACCTAGCTTGACACTGTTAAAATTTACTATCTACATATTCATAGTGGTGCATGCCAGTAAGCCCTACTACTGGAAAAGCTGAGGCTGATGGGTTGAGCATAGGAGTTCTGAGCTGCAGCAGGGCTAAGTCGATTGGGTATCCACACTAAGTCTGGCACCAATATGGGGAGGGTCTGGGAGTACCAAGCCACCTCCGCAGAGTCCCAAAGAGGAGTTAATTCCACTAAGTTTTTGAGCAGGGGCAGTAACATCAGAATTATTAGGTTTACTTTGAGGAATCATACCCATTTGAATATTTATTTTTAAAAATGGTGTGATTATGCATGAAAGTATTGCCTTCATTATAGTTTCTGTGTAAGACAAACATACTTATTCCAGTTACGCTGCCATTGCCAAAATATTTTTTGGCTTGCATTTAGTGGAGCTAAGTAGATGATGCACTGGATAAAACACTGGGCCTATAGACAAGAAGACCTGAGTTCAAATTTCAGCCTCAGATCTACCCCAATCAGACACTATTTGAAGTATTGTGTCCAATCTTGGGTGCCATATTTTAGTAAAGATAGGTCACACTAACTGTGTGACACTAGGCAAATCACTTAACCTCTGTGTGCCTCAGTTTCCTTACCTGTAAAATGACAATAACAATAGCCTCCCCTTCCCAGGGTTGTTATGGGGATCAAATGGGATAATGTTTGTAAAGTGCTTTACAAATGATAAAATGCAATATAAATAATAACTATTATTATTATCTCAAAGGATCCTCAGATATAGTAAGTATAGGAGATTTTAAATGGATTCAAAGTCATTATATTCAGAACAAGAATTAGAAGTTATAATAGAGATACGGAAGATCTCCTCTCTCCACTTGGGTTAGAACATGATATGGTTGAGACCGAAGTCACATATTTGCTTAGCACACACTGTGCCAAGGCAAAAGATTATTTCTTTAACCCTGGACAACTGTTTGCAAATGCCACAACTGCTCAGAAGGAAGACTGTGAAGGAGGATGTGGATCAATCAGAATTATTGGAATTATTGGAAAGCCATGAGGACAATGAATCAGTAGCAACTACCTCTTAGTGAAAGTTTCCTTCACTTAACAGAAGTTAACTGAAAGTGAGGTGAAATCAAGGTTGTTTTGATTTGCTTTTCTCTTAGTGATTTGGAGCATTCTTTCCCATGGTTGTAAATAGTCTGGAATTCTTTGTTTGAGAGCTATGTGTTCAAATCTTTTTATTACTTATCTGAGAGTGACTTTTAGTTATGTATCTATGTGACATATATATCTATGACATATATACATAAAAAAGATTGATGTGTAGACAATTAACAGATGTATGTGACATACATGTGTCTGTTAATTGTCTACACATCAGTCTTTTTTTAGACAACTCCTCTTTCGTCATCTTTATCAGAATTCTGTCTTAGGCAGCTGCCTAGAAACATCGAGGGGTTAAATGACTTAGCCTGTGTTAGTCAATACATGTTGGACGAAGGACTTGAGCGCAGGTCTTCCTGACTCTGAGGTGAGCTCTCTACCCCTTATACTACATCGCCTATTATTCATGAAAAAGTTCATCTAGAAAACGTCAATAACTATGGATCCATATCCTTCCCCCTGTCATCTCTATAAGTCTTTATGAGAATGATCTACATACATACTGAAGGTATTTAGTGCAAGTATCAGAAAGAAAAAAGCAAGATTTTACAACTGATTTTCTATAGTAGAATACATCTTCAGTCATACAATTGACTGAAAAGCATAGAGAATACAAGATCTCACTGTGGGTTTTTTTGATTCAATAGAACAAATTACAGCTCCAATGGCATTCTCATTCATAATTTAAGATTTTAAGATTCCTTGATAGATGCATCCACAGAGACAACTTCATGCAATCACCTCTGATCTTCAATACCAAGAGAGGTAGAACATAGGGATTGTTTGCCCAGAGTGTTTGCCCCATCATGTAGACTAGCCAATGCACAGCCCAAATGGCCCTGGAATTTTCCATTAGTGATGACATCCCCCAGATGCATCTCTTTGTGGGTAACATTTTGCTAACTGTCCCAAGCCCTGGAGTATCACCATAGCCCCAGAACCTTTTCCATAAGGTCTATGACTGTTTCAAATAATTCAGACTAATAATCCACATAAGAAAAGCTAAATGAATGAAGACTGCCTGTTGTCTAACCTATGATATACAGTTAGATAGACATCTTTGCTATGTATAATCTGGGGCAAAAACTGCAAATGGACAATGGGCTAGGCCCAGAATTGATTAGAAAGGTAAGAGTGCTCTGGATTGCACTTGGAAAATTGTATAGTACTTCTGGGGCAGCTAAGTAGTACAGTGGATAGAGTGCCAGTGAAGACTCATCTTCCTGAGTTCAAATCCGGTCTCAGACATTTACTAGCTGTGTGACCCTGGATAAGTCACCAAACCCTGTTTGCCTCATTTTTCTCATATGTAAAATGAACTAGAGAAGAAAATGACAAACCACCCCAGTATCCTTGCCAAAAAACCCCCCCAAATTGGGTCATAAAGATTCAGACACAGCTGAACAACAAAACAGCACTTCTAAGAATCCTAAATTGGTCCTTGATACACATTCATTGAAACCCCCAAGATCTTTTTAATACCAACACCAATATTCTTCTGGCAACACCACATGGCTGTGAATTATAGAATACCACAATCTCAGTACAATTAAAATTGTGGATGACCCAAAGTGCAATGGAGAAGCATACGGTGGGTATAAGCAAACTGCAGTACATTGCCAATGATGATTAATAGGCAAGATGATTGCTTTTATGTACATGACAGAGCTAACTCTGCCAACTCCTTTATTTGCCTCTCTGAGGAGACTCTGTGAACATTCCTTCCATGTAACAGAATCTTATTTATGTACTTCTGGCTTCATTTGTAGTAATCTCTCATAGGGAAATTGAGATACCTTTGATTTATCTCACAGGACTAGCTGTGGATCCTAAGAAGCAGAGATGAGGAGGAAGAACATTCTAGGCATGGAAAACAGATTAGGTAAGGGCATTGAGGTGAGAGATAGAAAGCAAATAGGCCTGTCTGGCTCAACATAGAAAATGTGAGGAGAATGTTATCCATCTGGAAAGATAATTCAGATCCAAATTATGAAATTCTAAATGCCGGAAAGAGGAGTTTACATTTTATACTAGAGGCAATAGGGAGCCACTGAAGTTTCTTAAACAGTGGAGTGACATGGTCAGACCTGTGTTTTAGGAACATCAATGTGATAGTTGTGTGGAGGATGAATTATAGAAAAGAGAGACTAGAGTATGGGGTTAACCTGGAGATCCATGGATAGTTTTCCATGAACTTAGATGGGAAAAAAAATACATCTTTACTAAACTCTAGCTGAAATTTAGCATTTCCTTCAATTATGAATTTAAAAAAATTTCTACGGAGCCCATATGCTTCACTAGATTGACAAGGGGTTCTATGAGACACACACACAAAAAAGGTCGAGAACCCTAGACTAGAGGCAGGGAGAAGGAGTCCATTACAATAGTCCAGATGAGAGTTTATGAGGACCTATACAAGACTAGTGGCTATGTTGGTGAAATTTATTCTTTACACATTTTGTATGTACTATACTTATCTGTGCATACATTGTGGGAAAGTGCAATCTCCTTGAGGGCAAGAACTCTTTTCCCCTCTAGACAACAAGTCAAGTCAACAAGCATTTATTAAGTGCTTACTATGTGCCAGGAACTAGCATTTGACACATGGTAGGGACCCCACAAATGTTTGCTGAATTCAGTGAAATTGAATCTATCAAATGAAAGAATTGGACTAAATGATCCTAGCTGGGATCAGGGGGTGGAGGGAGAAGTCATTTTTAGCTCTGAGGTTATCATCTCTTTGAAAATCAGTTTTCTGTGAAATGGAAATGATGATATATTTACTATGTACTTTATGGGGTTTTTGTGGGGAAAACACTTTTAACCTTTAAAGAACTACATAAAGTGACCTATGATTCCTCCACAAAACAAAGTTCATCATCATCATCATCATCATTATTATTATTTAATCACCAAGAATTTATTTAGCGCTGCTACATGCCTGGCACTCTCCTAGGTATTGGGAGTACAAAGATAAAAATCCAAACAGTATAGATGTAAAAACAGATACCAAGGGGGAAACCTCCCTCCAAAGTCATCCAGAAAGTCAAAAGGAAGAGCTTCTTCAGTCTCAGATCTCTTGCATTCACCTTAGCTAGTTGCTAGTTCTATTCAAACTCTGAATAAAGGTTCTGACTAGTATTTTACCCAATTTACTCCTGATGTCAAAAATACCCAATGACGTGATCGGTAGATTCATCCTTCTCAGTCTGATGTATGTAGTGCCCGGTAGAATCGTGCTACCCTTTGAAAGAGAGGGAACCAGAGCAGAAGCCCAAAGGGATGGAACTACTGTGGGGGCACCAGCACATTTTTCCCCCTTCTTGGTCTTGGCAGTTCTACTCGGTTGCCAGCAGCAGACTGAAACTGACAAGTTGTCTTGTGAATTGGAGCACAGCAATGGGGGGGGGGCAGAGGAGGGAGAAAACCCACTAGGGAACAGATGTGATGGAGTGAGCAAGCAGCAGAGGAAAGGCAAATGGGAAGGAGATGGAGGGGGAAGGGACAATGACCCAAAGAAAGGAAAAGGGAAGAAAAATTAGAAAAGGCTAGGGTCAAAAAACCCACTGGGCAGAAAAATAGAAGACTTGATGAAGAGTCAAGTAGAAAAAGAGAGACAAATTTATGAAGTAGAAGGGAAATAAAATCTAGAGAATGCTAAAGAGACAAGTCCTTGTTAATAATAAAATTAAAGAGCATTTTTGATTTATTAATAATTTATAATAAATAATTGTGTCTAATAAATATCATTAAAAGGCATTTTATGGATATCAAAATAGATTTCACATTGTAAATAATGCCCTCTGTTCTTCTTTTATGTTAAGGGCTATTAGACATGGCTGGGTATGGAATTTCCCTCTACTCACCACCTCCCTCCATATAGAATTCTTTCTTCCATCCAGAACTATGTCTTCTTCCCACTGTTCTGTTGCCAAAAGGGGGACAATAGTAAACACATTTTGCCTTCTAAGCTGAGAGCTCCTAGGAATGGAAGGGCTAGGAAAGAGAGCAGCATCCTAGGCACCCTCAATCCCTGGGAAGCACCCTTGCTTAGAGGGAAGAGGAGGACGGGGCACCCCGTCTCTGTATAAATAAGTCTTTCTTCACCTTTATGCACAATCCTTTGCTTGAATGTGGGCAACCGAACTCTACAAAACTGTGGTAAACATAAGGATGAGGGTGAGGGTGGGGTGAAGAGGGCAAAAAGACTCACTGTTCTTCTATTCTTTTCCCCATCCCCAGATGCCATCCTCCCTACTCCCTCTTGGGCACTCCAGCCCCTTGTGTTCTCTTCCTATGATTCAGTGCTATTTTTTCTGGGTCCATAAGACTTTTTCCTCAAAATGAGCAATTGATCATTATTCTACCCATTTTAATTCCTACATTTGACAGCAAATGCCTCTTCAAAGTAGTGATTTTGTAGTTAATTAGTATCAGGACTAGAAAAGGAAAAAGAAAGAGAGCAAATAAGATTAATTGAAGGATATTCTTTATAATCAGCCTAGGTCTCAGGAGGACTACAGGTGAGGGGATGTCACAAATTCTCAAGTCTGGTCAGATCAATTCACTGGGATTGGTAAGTAAGCTCCAAAGATGGCTTCCAAGATTTCTCTTTTTATGGAAAAGATCCTATCTCTGATGTGTATGAGGGATGTTCACCAGTTTTCTTCACTTCCCATGAGTTCTAAGGTAGTGATTGATAAAGAAACAAGGCAATTTCTGGTACACCCTAATCCCAGATTTATACTTTAGGTTTTTTAGCATTAAATTAGTTTAAAGGGTCAAGAAAAGAGAGAAAGAAAGAGGAGGAGAACCTAACATCGCCATACCTAACTTAGTTGGGCCTCTTCTCATCTGGGCCACTCTCATGACATTGGCTGAACTCTAAGAAACTTTCCCAGAACTCAAATATCATTTTTTTCAGGATTTAATTTAATAGTTTTAATAGTTCTGCACTTAGTAAACTCTCTGACATCACAGAAAGAACTTCAGTCTTCTAAACCCAAAGATCTCACTGAAAAAGTCCCATGATATCAAGTTCTCAGATATCAAGCTCTACACAAATAGTCCTGAGCTTATAAGGGCTACGTGGCAAAATAAAGAGCAAAGAAAACAAAGTTTGTTTATTGCCTATGTTTCTAACAATTCTTAAGTTTTTAAATTTTTATTTTATTTTATTTCCAATTAACAAGCAGTTATTTTCACTCTCCCCAGCCACCTCCCTTTCCCCTACTGAAAAAAAGAAAAGAAAAAGAAAATTCTTATAAGTAAGAGATGCGACAGGAGTAGGAAAGGAGAAAGAAAGAAAGTAAATAAGATTAATTGAAGGATGTTCTTTATAATCAGCCTAGGTTTCAGGAGGACTGAAGATAGGGGGATGTCACAAATCCCTAAATCTGTGTCAAATCAACTCACTGCAGTTGGGAAGGCAGCTCCAAAGATGGCTACATAAATACATATATACATATATATATATATATATATATATATATGTATATACATATTTATATATATACATATATGTATATATATATATATATATATATATATATATATATATATATAGAGAGAGAGAGAGAGAGAGAGAGAGAGAGAGAGAGAGAGAGAGAGAGAGCGCAAAGGCTATTAGACATGGCTAACAGTAGAGTTTCTCTCTACTCATTCTAGCAAACAAATTCCCATATTGGTGGTGACCTGAAATGTATGTCTGCATCTTAAGTCCATCACCTCTCTGTTAAGAGGTGGTTAACATGGTTCTATGTGGTCCTCAGGAATTGTGGTTGTCATTGCATTGACCAGAGCTCTTCAGTCTTTCAACATTCTTTTGTATTTATAATGTTATTATTGTATAAAGTGTTCTAGCTCTGCTTACTTCACTTGCATCAGTTCACACAAGGCTTCCGAAGTTTCCCTGAAACCATCCTTTTTGTCATTTCTTAGGGCACAGTAGTATTCCATTATGTTGTTCAGCCATTTCCTGATTGAGGGGTACCTCCTTAGTTTTCAATTCTTTCCACTACAAAAAGAGCTTCTATATATTGTTGTACATATGGGCCCTTTTCCTCTCCCCAAGCTTTTTTCCAAACTATAAGGCACACAGCTGGCACAATAAATAGGTTAATATTAACCTATAATAATATAAGCTCTGAAACCTCCTAGGGTTCATTAAAACAAAGAATAGAATATTACTGTAACTAGCTTGATGTCAACTATTGCTACCTCAAGTACTGAAAGAGTCACAGGGAAATCTAGAAATGTTGCTCTTCAACTATAGAATATAAACAGCCTCCATATCCTGAAAGTATATACTCTGCCTAATCTCCTCACACTGCAATGATACTCTGGCTTGTAGCTCCTTCCTCTGACTGGTTAGTTCCTTCCAGAGCCTCCATTTAAAAAAAAAAGTGCCCAAGAGGGGAGCAGCTAGGTGGCGCAGTGGATACAGCACCAGCCCTGAAGTCAGGAAGACCTGAGTTCAAATCTGACCTCAGACCAAACACTTGACACTAGCTGTGTGGTCCTGGGCAAGTCACTTAACACCAATTGCCTAAAAAAAAAAAAAGTGCCCAAGAGAGCCATGTCTTCCTTCATTGTTCTCCAAGCTCCATTCCTCACTCTCCAGACTGACTCTCTGACCATGGCCCTCCCTCGAGATACCTTCTCCTTCCCCTTTGCCCTGTTCCCCTCCTTTTTAAGTATTGTCCAGCAGAAACTGGTAACATCAGGGAACAGAAAAATACTAAGAAAACATCCCAAGCCAGCACGAGCTATATTAATTGGGAACCTGAAGCCAGATCTTGACTCTAGCCTGTCAGAACAGAGCCATCATCCAAATATCATTGTACAGGGAGATGGGGCCCAACTGTACACTTCACAGAGGACTGGGAAGACACAACAAGAGAAAGACAACTCCTCAGCATCAGACCTCCTCCGTGTGGAAGATCTGAGAGAGCATAATCTCTAGCAATTCACTGGGGCCACAAGGCAACAGCAGGAGATGGAGTCAACTTTCAGGTGGAGACCATACAAAGAGAAGATGACAGACTGGAGAAGGGCTGAGCCTGCAGTGAACCACCAAGAGACAGGAGACAAGGATCAAGGCAGAGGGTAGGGCCTACTGGTAGCCACCCCAGTTGGATTGTCAATGGCAGCCACATCTAGTCTGTAAAGTGGTTAAGAACTAATGAAGCCTTCCTAAACCATCCAAAAAGACAGAAGGGGACTGGCCCTAAACCAAATATATCAGGAGAAGTTTGAGAGAAATTGAGGTTAACACTAAAGGAGAACAATCTCCACGTCCAGATTCTACTTCTAACTTCTGTAAGACAAGTTTATAGAAGGAGCAAGAGAAGAGACAGAGGTGAGTTTGTTGGTTTGGGACTTCTGAGGAAGGTGAGAGATTAAATTTGGGAAAAGAAAAATATGGAAAATCAAAGAAAACTTGAATATAAACTAAAGAAGTTGAACTAAAGGAGAAAAGCGCAGTCTAAAGGAAGGAAAAGGATGAAGGTATACAGGCCAGAAGAGAGGAAAGAAAGAAAGAAAGAAAGAAAGAAAGAAAGAAAGAAAGAAAGAAAGAAAGAAAGAAAGAAAGAGAGAGAGAGAGAGAGAGAGAGAAAGAGAGAGAGAGAGAAAGAAAGAAAGAAAGAAAGAAAGAAAGAAAGGGAAAGAGAGAGAGGAAGAAAGAAAGAAAGAAAGAAAGAAAGAAAGAAAGAAAGGGAAAGAGAGAGAGGAAGAAAGAAAGAAAGAAAGAAAGAAAGAAAGAAAGAAAGAAAGAAAGAAAGAAAGAAAGAAAGAAAGAAAGAAAGAGAGAAAGAAAGGAAGGAAGGAAGGAAGGAAGGAAGGAAGGAAGGAAGGAAGGAAGGAAGGAAGGAAGGAAGGAAGGAAGAAAAAAGGAAAGAAGGAAGAAAGGGAAGGAAGAAGGGAAGGAAGAAACAATGGATGGAAGGAAAGGAAAAAGAAAAGGGAAAGAAGATATTTGTCAAGTCAAGGTAAGCAAAACAAGCTGATAAATAAAACAACACAGTAAATTGTTAAGTATAGTACTGGTGAAATATGAAGTTTGTGAGAAAAGGAAAAGGAAGTCAACTTTGCTATCAAGTTAAATAATGATAAAAGGCTCTGTGGGTATTAATGAATGTTTAGGAGGTGAAGTAGAAATAGCCACAAGTAACTCAAAAAACAAGATTAAGAATCTCAGTCAGGATGAAAAGCAAGGGGAAATATTGCATAACTTAGACTGAGTTTGATATTTGTATTTCTAATGTAGCCCGAGTAACCATGATCTATCTTCTAAATGTAGGTTTGCATTTCTCCTAGAAGGGACTTGATGAACAACTCTCTACACATCAGGTAACCAGGGACAATTAAATGTTCATTTCAGAAATGGAAATAGGATTTCAATGGGGAAAAACAAGATTTAAAGTAGTCAAGGGAAATCTTTATCTTAGTCAGTAGGTGGAAAAAAATGAATACCTCCAGAGGCTGATGGAAGATAAGGGTCAACTGTGTACTTAGAGCTAAAAAACAAATTTGGCCTCTTTCAAAAGAAGAAGAACTGATGCAGAGTGAATTGAGTAGAACCAGAAGAAAAATTGATAATATAACACCAATATTATAAAATGAATTATTTTGAAAAACTTAAGAGCTCTCATCAACTAAATAATCAACCATGATTTCCATGGACTGATAAAGAAGAACGATGCCCACCTCATGACAGACAGATGAAAGATTAATATGTAGAATAAGAAACACACTTTTGGATGTAACCAATGTTTTTCTTAACTCTGCTTATGTAATTTCTTTTTTCCTTCCTTCCTTTCTTTCTCTTCCATGAATAGGAGGAAGGGGGAAAAATGAATGCTTGATCATTGAAAAAAAAATTTAATAGCAGGAAGCTGTATGCTCTGATGAGCTGCTTGTCTTCCAGAGAATGAAAAGTAGATCCACAGGTCCTGTCAGGTGAAAGATCAGCCAGTAAGGGTCAAAAAAAGAAGAGAAGAATAATGGTGGTAGGTGACTCCCTTCCAAAGGGAACTGAAGCAGCTATTTATTCACCTGATAACATTAGAAGGATCTTTTGTTTTTCTGGTGAATGTGTCCAAGATGTTACAGACAATCTCCCAAGACCTGTCAAGACAGATGACTACTACCCACTTCTGGTGATTCACACGGGTACAAATGATATTGCCAGAAGAAGCCAAGAAAATATTGCCAAAGATTACAAGGTCTTACACCAGATAATAAAAACCAGAGGGACACAGGTTGTGTTTCCTCGCTGCTGCCCACTGAAGACAAAGGATGCAGAAAAGAAAATTGATTTGGAAAGTAAGTAGCTATCTAAGAGGATGGTGTCTGAGAGCAAGATCTGCATTTCTGGACTGCATCTTAAAACATAGAGATGATGGACCCCACACCATTGCTGAATGGTCCCTAACAAAATCTAGTTAAGAAAACACCCAATGTTTTGTAAATCTAATCAAAAAGCCTTTAAGATAAAAAGGATTGGAGGGGGGGGAAATGACCTATATATATATCCACCATGCTGTATACCAAGAGGGAAGAACAGCATTTAAACCCAGAAGTTCACAAGCAATAAAATCCAAGAAAGGAGTCAGTAGTAAAACTCATAGCCTCAAATGTCTGTATTCAGATGCCCGAAGTTTCAGTAACAAGTAAGAAAAATTGGGAGTCCTAATGCACAAAGACAAATTTTACCTCGTAGATATCATTTCCATGGCTGGAAATCTGAATGCTGATACCATATTCAAAAGAAACAGGATGAGTAAAAAGAGGGGTGGAATAAAATTGTGTATTAAGAAGATATACCCTTCTTAGCCTATATAGCATGGTGGTACATTCCTGTAATCCCAGTTAGCAGGGAAGATAAGGCTGCTGGGTCTCTTGAGCTCAGCAATATTGAGCTTCAGTGGGCTATGTTAATCATGTATCCACACTGAGGTTAAGATCAATATAGTGAGCCCCCTGGACTGGGGCAAACTAGCCTGGGTTGGAAATAGAGCAGATTAAAGCCCCCATGCCAAACAGTAGTTGGATTGGACCTATGAGCAGTCCCTACATTCCCAGTTTGAGTGATATGGGGAAGCCCAGCAATTTTTTTTTAAAAGTATACTTTTGTAAGGAAATCCAGGAACCAAAAGAGTGTCACATGGTAAAAGTCATTTGAGTGAAGATTGATGGAATGAAAAACAGCAGTGATTTTGATCATTAAATTATACTACAAACCACCTAGTGAGACAGAGGAAATAGATGAGTTTAAGAAACAGATTACTACGTTAGTACAGAGACATAATGTTGTAATGATCTATGTAATTGAAGTATGTAATTGGAGTTTCTCTCTCTCTCTCTCTCTCTCTCTCTCTCTCTCTCTCTCTCTCTCTCTCTCTCATTCTGTTACTCTCTCACTCTTTCTCTGAAAACCAGAGAAACTAATCAAAAGGTGAAGGAATCAAAAAGAGCCGATTCTGGTATTGAATTTGAGTCTCATAAACTGGGAAGAAATGATTGCTAGAGTAGAAACAATGGGAACCTTAATGGAAAGAGACTGCCCACTCCTCGAGGTTGTGATAGAAAAACAGGGGAAATCTTGGCATAGTATGACATACACCCAGATTTGGGAAAAGCAGACTTCAAAGAGTTCAATAGAATCAATCAATCTGCCAATAAGCTTCTAGACTAGGTAAAATCCCATGGACTAAAGTTCTGGGGGGGAAGTTGGCCCAGTATAGATGAGAAACTTGAAAGAAGGGAATTCTGAAGGCTCAAGAGGAAATAATTTTGATGAGGAGGAAAAATAAGCATCATCTGAAGATACAGATGCCCTCTCACCTCCACTTCTTGGTTTCCCTGACTTCCTTTAAGACCCAGTTCAGATTCTGCCTTCTGAACTTTCCCCAAGCCTCCCAGCTACTAGTGCCTTCCCCTTTCAGATGGCCTTCAGCTGCTCTGTGTACAGCTAGTGTGTACCTAGTCATTTGCATGTTACCTGCCCTCATTAGAATGTACATTCCTTGAGGGAAGGGCTGGTTTTGTTTTCCTTTTGTTATCCCCTCAGTTTCACGTGGTGTCTGGCAAAGAGTAAGAACTTTAATGCTTGTTAGATGCTTCTTAACTAACTTACTAAGGTCTTTACACTGGGAATTCATGAACCAACCTTAATTTTTTTAGGGATATGTATAAAAAGGAAGATGTGATGCTGAGATAATGTCAGTGATATTTGAAAAATAAAGGAAAGTTCCACAAAACTAGAGAAGGGTGAATATCCTAATTCCCACAAAAGGAAAAAAATAGTCTAAAATCATAGGTCAATTAGCTTGACTTCAATTCCTAGGAAAATTCTAAGACAAATCATTAAAGAGATGGCTAATAAGCATCTAGAAAAGAAAATAATCATTACAAAGAGCTAATATGGCTCCATCATGAGCAAATCATACCAAAGTAACCTTATTTCCTTTTTTGACAGAGTTACTAAACTAGAAGAATAGGGAAATGCTGTAGATATATGTAGCACAGTCTCTGGGGGGCTATTACCCCCACAGAAAATGACTAGCTACTTCTCCCCTCAGGGATTTAGGGATAACTCTGAAAGATTGAGAATGTCTTTCTAAAGCTATTGCTTATGAGCCCCTAGTAGTGGGCTTTCCCCATTCATTATCAGTTGATATCCATCACCCAAAAGGAATTAATTAGCTTTTAGAAATGGACATTTACTAAGGTGGTATAATAAAAACAGTTGATACCAAACATTCCTCCAAAGTAGGGACGCACTGTCCCCTAAATATGTATGGGGACCAGGAGAAAGTCAGCTAAAGCTTAGAGATTGCATGTGACAAACTAACAGCTCATTGTTACTGGAAGACTCCTTTGCAGGATCCTTGTGTACTTCCCCTTAAGCACGGTGCTGCATTCTGCTAGGATCTTGAGCTGCTTTTCTTAGCACATCTAGTTGGCTCCCAATACAGATACTCCTATCCAACACCACTGTACTGGGGACACTTCTAGGATACCTATGGGAAATTGAAAATCTTCTGACATTTTGAAGTTCCCAATATCATCCTCTTGTCAGAGAAGGGGAAGAGACAGCTTTTCTCCTCCCTCCACCCCAAGTGACTCCTTCTAAGGAGCTTGGCTGAAACTGTTCTTTTTAGGCTGGCCTACTCCTAGAATCTCTAGTTCTGAACTAACCTGCTGTTTTTATTGAAGGTCCACAAGATGTGATCAACTCTTCCACCAATTCAATACACTTCCTTTATAGCATCATTTTATTTCATGCAATGGCTGGCAGCATTTTTCTTCTTCCAAATTAATTAAGAACTTTTCAAATTTAGTTTAATACCTTTGATACCTTAAGGTATCAAGGCATACAGCCATCTTGTTATTTCAAGTGACATGGGGTGATCTGGTTGATTAATGCAATCAACCCCTACTCTTACACGTGGTTTACCCAGATTTTAACAATGCATTTGATAAGGATCTCATATTGAGGACATTTTGATAAGCTGGAAAATGTCCAGAGGAGGTTGGCCAGAATTGCAAAGAGTGTTGAGTTTATGGCATATAAGAATTGATTGGCTGAGAATCTCATGCCCAAAAGGCTGAGACCTTCTCATTGCCCGCCTGTCTTTACAGGCATCACCTGGCTGAGAATCTCAGGCCCACAAGGCTGAGATTTTCTCATGCTCGCCTATGTGTTTTATCACTAATAAACTTTTCCTCTGGCTAGAAGGAAAAAAAAGAATTCATTAAAGAAATTAAAGACGTTTTGCCTGAAGAAGAGAAGATCCAAGGGAGATTATAGTTGTCTTCAGATACTTGAATTTCAGATACTCAAAAAAATTCTAGGATTCTCTTGAATCCCCCAATAGAAATTAGGTACCTTGAGGACAGAGAATATTTTGTTTTATTTTTGTGTGACAAAAGTTAATAAGGGAACTTCAGATCCACTGAGTCCAGAGTTGCATGGATGAAATTATTAATGTAATATGCAGGTACCAGGTAACAAGATTTAATGTTCTCTTCAGACCTTTCATATCCATTTGCATAGGAAAGAATCAGGAAGTACAGTTGAGGTTTGGCAAAAATAATGGTCTTGCCTTATTGCCTTCTCTTTCTCTACTCTCTGACCTGAGCAAACAGGAAAAAATAAGAGTTTAAAAGTTAAGGATCTAACCCTAGTTGAGAGATTCAAGACATTCAGATCATAGGATCATTTCTAGCAGAGTGTAGCTTAGGGATGAGAGGAAATAGAGGCCATTCCCTCTCTCACCCCTCAAACTGCCATCCAATGTTATCATTGTAGCCGAATATTATCTTGTAGCAGAAGCATATAGCTG